TCCATGTCCATTGATACAGCACCTTCTAGGAACGATGTTGCTTCAATCACGTTTATCTCTGGATTGCGAAATTTCTGGCTGTCTGGGGCATACTTGAAATGGCCCTGAAGATTGTGGAACTTACTCTTACACTTGACGCAGAAAGTTTTCTGGCCGGATTTTGAACAGCTAGCATGTTTGTGATTTTCTCCGCAGTACCGACAAACCAGAACTCTGCAGTCACGCATGTAGTGAGGCGCGCCACACTTGAAGCAAACAGGGGTTCTGGTTGGAGTTTGTTGAACTGCATTAACATTTGGGTCCGTTTGGACCGGTTTTGTCCTCTGCTGGAACTGGGTTATGGCGTCGCAAAGCATATTCCACTGGAACGGGACGGAAATTACTATGGATGCTGTTAGTTTAGCCAACTCTGAGGAATTTAATCCTTCACATATCTTCTTCAGGAGGAGAGAAGCTTGCGACATTGTCCAGCTCGAGGAGGGGCCATAAGCCTCCTCGGCCGTATCTCGAACCTTCTGCAGGAACGCTTGAACTGATTCTGAACTAGCTTGGCGGAAACCTTTGTAGACTTGTAGCATTGCATCATCCTTCGCGTTGGGGGAGTGTACGACTGTTGTTATAACTTGGAGCAAGGTGAGGTAAGAATAGGAATCTTTCTGCGCTTCACTACCGACATCTAGCGCCAGAAGACGTTGCTTCAAACTGGTGGAACAGCTATTATAAACTACAGCAATCCGGCCCACTCTACTGGCGATAAAAAACTTGTCGAACAGGTCGGAAAAATGAATAGACCAGTATTTGATGGATTTTGTCGCGAAATCTTGCTGCTTGAGATTTTCAACAACTCGGGATATTATCTTCGCTTCTGATTCAGTCAACTGGCTCCAGGGCATCGGTGAAACTGCATCATCAATAGCTAGTACTTGAGTTTTGAGCAGTTGTTGTACCTTCGACTTGTCATCCTCTTTCTGCAGGATGATTCTTGCTTCTGTTGATAGTGTTGTGGTTAACGACTTCTTAACTGCTTCGTCGATATTCGGAATTTGCTCCACTGCACTCTCAAATTGCTCAATTTGCGACGCTAGAGGGTCTCTCGATGCTGGCAAAAAGACTTCCTTGAGCCAACTAAGAAACCAATCAGGCCTACCCCCAGACCCCCGTTGCTCAGCGACGTTGTCCTCCATCCTAGAATATAAGAATGGAGTACGGTTGAAATATACATTGAAATTTAAGAAACATTTTATCGGTCTGTGTCTCTAACATGTTACTTAACTCGCGTCATTTTACCTACGTAAATCTGTCGAGACAAAACATCAAAGCTTGATGAAAATATATCGCCATACTCATGAATTTACAATTTGATAAACAAGATGGAAATAAAATTGTTTTACCTTGAATTTCAGTAAAATGTTCACAATTTGAAATGAAACCGTTAACTGTGCTCTAGGATGAGTTGGCGTCTATTTTCAATGCCGCGGTCTGCGCAAGCTTACCGATAGTTTTCTAGCTTTTGGTTAGGGTGCGCCGAAATCCTAGAAAACTATTTCGCCGAATATTATTAAAAACTAGTGTTGCTATTTGGGCTTCCAATTTTTGAACTTGTCACCATATTGTATATGAATAAAAAAATACTTAATGCAACCACTAGAAAATAATATATTCGTCGAGTCGGTTTTTCTTATACTTTATTTTACAAAGATACAAAAAATATACGATTGATACTATACTAATCAGATATTGTGAATCGAAACAGTTCCAAGGTGATGGGGAATCTTCAAGGGAACCTCTGTATAAGGGAGCTGATCATCAACTGGATGCTTTTTCCCCAGATTTCGCTTCACCCTGGGTTCGGATTTAACCCTACTCTTACCGTGAGCTGGCCGGCTAGCCCACCAGCTCCCGGTTTCTGGGATAACCGTTTCTCCGCGTGGCTTGGGTTATTTATAGAATTCAAACACAAACAAGAATAAATCCGTTAGCTCTGATGAGGGATAGGAGTAGGGGTGGGGGGGAGGAAAGAAACTAAAAATGACGGAAAGAAGAAAAAATACTACTTATGATCGCAGGAAAGATCATTCCCTCATTTTCCTGCTACAATACACATTTTTGCTTTCCTGAACTTTTGATTTTGAGAGAAAAAAAAGTTTTGCTGTTGTTACCAAAAAAAAAAAATTCAAAAAGTATTGACTCGCCCGGTATATACATATGCTTGTCTGGGTGTTTGTTTGTTTGTATCCAATAAAAGTCAAAACGGCTTAACCGATCGGGCCCCAATTTTTTGTGGGACCTCCCGTGACCGCAGGGAAGGTTTATGGATGATCAAATTTCAAAACTTTGCTTCTAACAAAATAAACAGAAATTTATATCCTCTGTATTTCTGGAGTAGGTGCTCCAATCTTTGGTGAGGTTAACTATTAATATTTAGTAATCAACCAGCGGCCAAATTTAAAGAATTTGAGTGGCGGTTAAAATTTGAGCCGCGGTTTGAATATGGTTGGTTCCACTTAAAATTGTATCAAATATTTCAAGATTTAAGCCGGCGCCTGAATTTAAACCGGGTTTTGGCGGATTTAAACCGTGGCTCAAATTCTTTAAATTCCATCTCAGAGTATCCTCAGTTTTACAGTTAAATAATGCAAAATCTTTCGGATTATCTTCTCTTCAGTCAATAAACATGGTTAAAGGGAGTGTTCGCGAAAAATTAAGAGGGTAGGCTTTTATCGATTGAATTCGATATCGATCGCTAGTATTTTACTTTTATGATATCAGCCTATACCATCTTCATTTTTTGCAAACACTCCCTTTAAACTGGCGTTTTAAAACATAAATTCTGGAGTTTCTAAATCGTTTTTTAACGGATGTTTATGTTTATATATAAATATATAATTTTCAGTGTTAAATGTTGGGAAAGAGGAAAAAAAGGAAAAATTAAAAATAATATTAAGGATAAGAATCATTTAGTTTAAAGTATGCTTGTTTACTGAAAAGGTATTCGCTGACCACATTGCGAACTGCAAAACATACTTAAACTTTAAAAGGTCAGGACAGGGTCGAAAATAGGAACTTGTTAGGGGAATATTCTATTAGGGGCAAACATTCTTTATGCCCCCCCTCTTTATTTTAAATGTTCCCTCTATTATGTAAAAACTAAAGATTATATTAATTAACCAACAAACGTTGATTCAAAAAGGAGCTCAAGTTGGCATCATATATTCCAATTCTACCCCCCCCCCCCCCCCCAACTTGCCAACCCAGCCCTGAAACCGCCCCTAAATTTACTCTTTACAAAACATCACTTTTCTCCAGGAACATTTCTGCAGTACTGGGAACAGATCTGTGTTTTCTCAAGCAACATTCCTGCTGAGCTGTGTAATGAACAGATCTTCATTTTCTTCAGGAATGTTCCTGCAGTGCTGGAAACAAATCTGTAAATCTTCTAAAGCAACATTCCTGCTGAGCTGTGTTAGGAACAGTTGCTTTTTCTCTATTAAGGAACGTTCCGTGCAGTGCTAGAAACATCCAAATTTCTCCATGGCTAGCAAAACGGTTTATATAGTATCTTAAGAAAAATTTTCTCTGTAATACTGCACTCTCAGTTAAACTACCATTTTTAGCCAGTCGCTCCCTTTAGTGGAAAGAGTATTTCTTTATCTGGGGTACTGTACTAATTTTCGAAAACGGGTTTGATTGTTTTTTTGTCTTTCTTGAGCCAACACAACTTGGAACACAGTGAAAAGGTATACGTTTGCAGATTTAGTAGAAAAGCTTAACAAAATGCTCCCTCTAGTCTCTAGGTCAGGACCGGAGCCAAACTAAATGTTTGTTCTGAAACTGTCCCTTTAAGATATAACATAGCAAAACAAACTTTTGTAAAATGTTCCTTTTTAGATAACGTGGGATATTTTCCAACTGTAAAACCTTTATAGTAAAGGGATACCTACAGTTTTCTGTGACTGCATGTGGACCATTCTGGAGACAATGAATATAAAGGAGGGTGGTCAAGTATCTTCTTCAGTTTGTAGGGAACCAGCAGGCTGGGAGTCAATATGTATATACACAATTTTTTCCTGGTAATATATTTTTATACAGGATGTCTCAAAAAACATGAGACTATTTGCATTGCTCCCGGTGCCGTGGCCTTTTTTCGTGTACACAATAATGTCAAAAGTACTCCAGCTAATATTTGAATTTTTAGACCGTGATACACGGTGTTTGCACTTTACAAATTGATGGAGAAAGGAATTGAGTTTTGCCACAAACTCAAATTTTCTAATCACTATATCTTTTAAACCTGGTGGTGCAAATCTTGATATTTCAAACTATACCATGTGAAATTATATCGTGAAAAATAAAGTCTTCGACATCGGGTTGACAAGATATTTTTTATGATTTACTGTGGAACGAATCAATTATATAATGATTATGACTTTATTTCTTTCTTTTTCGATTCTTAAAGGGACAGACCGGCAATGTAAGGTAGTAAAACTGAGTATGCAGTGTTGTGGACAAATTTTCTAGGATTCATTTGAGAAATATAAAATGTTTCCACGATATATAATCATTGAGTTTGAGTGCAAAGTCGACGTTCAAAATCATGACTTTGAATGGGTACGTTTCCAGAATCGTATTTTTTAATTATTAAATAACGACGACGAAAAATAAAGTAAAAATTATACTGTAAACTAATTAGATGGTTAGGAACATATTTCTTAAAAGAAATTTGTCAATAAATCAATGCTAAATCTATTTTTTCGTTTTCATCATTATATTGAATTTTTTACTTTCTATGAATTTATCCACAGATATCTTAAAATTCTTCAAATGTCTTTTTTTTCAATAAAAATTCCAAAAAATCTGGAGAAAAATCTTTATGAATAATAATAATAATAATAAACTAATAAATTGAAGAAGATTACTTATTTAAGATGATAAGATTAATTAACTTATTAGTAAACTGTAGAATTTTGTTAACATTTTTTGTCGTCGTAATTTAATAGTTTAAAAATAAAATTCTGAAAACGTATCCACCTAAAAGTACGATTTTGAACGTCGACTTTGCGCTCAAACTCAGGATTTACAGATCTTTAAAAAAATTTATATGTCACAAATGAATTCTAAAGAATTTGTCCACATCACTGCATACTCAGTTCAAATACTTTACATAGCCGGTCTGTCCCTTTAAAAGGACAATAGATGACTCTACTTCTAGTATAAAATGTCCTATTTAAACATATGCTTAGTCTGAGTGACAACTTGGCCGATTTCGTAGTTTTTAAAAATATTTGATTTCAACTTGAAAAACAAATATATACATTCATTCATTCACGAAAAGCAGGTATTAGAGTATACAAGATGTGAATTGGACATGCCACTTCATAAATGGAGTGTCACTTGTAACTACATCTACTATCCCTTCATGCCCTTCATATAATATCCTCTTCATTCTTTATTCATGACCCTACCTTATCTACATGATTATCAAAATTTTGAAATATTTAGGTTGTGTTTGTTCTATTCTGTTTCTTAAAGTATACTAATAATCAAAATCTATTTAGGTTGTGTTTGTTCTATTCTGTTTCTTAAACTATAATAATTAATTAAAATCTATTTAGGTTGTAATTGTTCTATTCTGTTTCTTAAAGTATACTAATAATATAAATCTATTTAGGTTGTGTTTGTTCTATTCTGTGTCTAAAAGTATACTAATAATCAAAATCTATTTAGGTTGTGTTTGTTCTATTCTGTGTCTAAAAGTATACTAATAATTAAAATCTATTTAGGTTGTGTTTGTTCTATTCTGTTTCTTAAAGTATACTAATAATTAAAATCTATTTAGGTTGTGTTTGTTCTATTCTGTTTCTTAAAGTATACTAATAATATAAATCTATTTAGGTTGTGATTGTTCTATTCTGTATCTGTAAGTATACTAAATAATATAAATCTATTTAGGTTGTGATTGTTCTATTCTGTTTCTTAAAGTATACTAATAATCAAAATCTATTTAGGTTGTGTTTGTTATATTCTGTTTCTTAAAGTATACTAAATAATTAAAATCTATTTAGGTTGTGTTTGTGCTATTCTGTTTCTTAAAGTATACTAAATAATATAAATCTATTTAGGTTGTGATTGTTCTATTCTGTTTCTTAAAGTATACTAAATAATTAAAATCTATTTAGGTTGTGTTTGTTCTATTCTGTTTCTTAAAGTATACTAAATAATTAAAATCTATTTAAGGTTGTGTTTGTTCTATTCTGTGTCTAAAAGTATACTAATAATTAAAATCTATTTAGGTTGTGTTTGTTCTATTCTGTTTCTTAAAGTATACTAAATAATTAAAATCTATTTAAGGTTGTGATTGTTCTATTCTGTTTCTTTAAGTATACTAATAATATAAATCTATTTAGGTTGTGTTTGTTCTATTCTGTTTCTTTAAGTATAATAAATAATTAAAATCTATTTAGGTTGTGTTTGTTCTATTCTGCTTCTTTAAGTATAACAAATAATTAAAATCTATTTAGGTTGTGATTGTTCTTTTCTGTTTCTCAGAGTCTGAATCTTTCCCTACCGTTGACTTGCTTGTAAAGGGAGCTATTATAAAGGGAGCCCTAATAAAGGGGGCCCTTATAAAGAGCACACTTGATAACCAAGCACAAGAGCCTATTTGCAGAATAGTTTACAAGCAAAGATGCACCCAAGTAAATGAAGAGAAGTGTAGCACAATACAAGAGGAGCAGTGCAGTTCAGGGACCAGACAGGAGTGCACCACCGTTAATGAACAGCAGTGCAGCATTTTATTGAATCAGCAATGCAATATAATAAATGAACAGCAGTGTACTGATGTAAATGAACAGCAATGCACAATAGTCAATGAACAGCAGTGCAACACTGTTACAGACACTGTCAACGAACAGCAATGTAACACTGTCCAAGAACAGCAATGCCGTCCTACCACAAGACAGGAGTGCAATACTGTAAATGAACAGAAATGCGAAACCAAATACGAGACAGTCAATGAACAGCAGTGTAATACAGTTCAGGAGCAGCAATGTAATACCGTCAACAAACAGGAATGTAACACAGTCAATGAACAGGTCTGCAGTACAGTTCAGGAACAGCAGTGCAGAACTGTAACAGATACTGTCAACGAACAGAAGTGCAGCATAGTAAATGAACAGCAATGTAATACAGTTCAGGAACAGCAGTGCTCTATCATCAATGAACAGCAATGTAACACTGTCCAAGAACAGAAGTGTTCAACAATTAATGAACAACAATGCAACACTGTTCAGGAACGACAATGTCAGATTATTACAGATACTGTCAATGAGCAAAAGTGCACTACCGTTAACGAGCAGAGGTGTTTAACAGTCAACGAACAGGTTTGCAACACTGTCAATGAGCAAGTATGTAACACTGTCCAAGAACAGCAATGTCGAACTATTACTGACATAGTAAATGAACAACAATGCAGCACTGTAAATGAGCAGGTTTGCAAAACTGTCTTTGAAGAAGTTTGCGACTCTGAAACAGCTGGGAACTCTTATGGAGGAACTGATGATTTTGGAGGGGAGGCTCGAGCAGCAGGATCCTCGTCAGTATCTGAACTTTACGGAGCTGCTTCAGCCCCAGCTTGCAGACAAGTTGCAAAGCAGGAGTGCACAAACGTTCCCAAGCAACAATGCAGAACTGTGCCACGATCAGTTTTAAGACAGGAGTGCAACAATGTTCCAAAGCAACAATGCAGAAGTGTTCCTAAACAGTCCTGCAGAAGTGTGCCACGGCAGCAATGTATAAACGTTCCAAGGCAACAGTGCTACAACGTTCCTCGCCAGGTTCAAAGGCAGGAGTGCTCTGATGTTCCCAAACAAGAATGCAGAACTGTTCCTAGACAACAGTGTCAGAATGTTCCCAGGCAAGAATGCAGAAGTGTCCCCAGACAACAGTGCCGCAATGTTCCTAAGCAGCAGTGCCGTACTATTCCAAGGCAGAAATGTCAGAATGTTCCTAGACAGGTCAGCAGGAATGATTGTTCAAGTGTTCCTCGACAGCAATGCAGCAATGTTCCCAAGCAAGTATGCCAAAATGTTCCATCAACAGAATGCAGATCTGTTCCCAGAGAGCAATGCAAAAATGTTCCAAGACAGGTTGCAAGCGAGCAATGCAGAAATGTTCCTAGACAACAGTGTCGTTCAGTTCCTGATAAAGAGTGCACAACTGTTCCCAGAGAGCAATGTCAGAATGTTCCACGACAGGTCCAGAGACAGGAGTGCAGGAATGTTCCCAGTCAACAGTGTCAAAATGTTCCTAGACGACAATGTAGCAGTGTTCCAAGGCAACAGTGCCTCAATGTTCCTAGCCAGCAGTGCCAAAATGTTCCTAGACAACAGTGCACAAACGTACCTTGGAATGAGTGTGTCAGTGTTCCTCGACAGGTGTGTAAGAATGTTCCCCGTCGGCAGTGCCACCCCGTTCCTAGTCGACAGTGCTCTGCTGATGCTGAAGGTTCCCACCATGGTTAAACAAAATCCCTCCGTTTACATTTTGTGCATATTGTTTCTGAAAATATGTTTCATGTCAGAAGAGCTAGTAGGTGACAGATCTCCTGTTTACAGTGCTGAGCCGTTTCCCCTTTCTCTGTGGTCTTATGAATACTATGTATTGTATTTTTACACCAACGTCCATTTCAATAGAGTTACCAAATACATCGCAGACTTAGTTTGAAAACCTTTCGTCTTTGTAAGTTATCCAGGTTATCCCTAGTTTTGTAGTGTTATATCAGTTTGTTCATGTGTGCACTATGTTTGACAATGAAACAGATTGAGTGGCTAAATAGATGTAAATTTACAATTCAATTTGACTGGTTTTTATCTCCAGGAAATGATTAGTATGAGAGAACCCTCAAATTGATTTAGCCAACAAGTTTATTGCAGTTTTTGAGAGGAATTTAAACAAAAACAGATTCACTTTGAGTTTTTTTTGGATTTGGATCAGAGGTATAAAAGGACATTATGAAGGGCGAAAACTGTTATTTTTGATTTGATTTAATTTCAGTGATAATGAAAAAATATGCTTGTGATCTATAAAATTTTAGCTAAATTAAGTTTGGACATTTAAGTTTTATGCGCACAATCTCCATCTTATTAAGTTTTTTGAGTTGGTTAAGTTTCTTTTTAAGAAAAGGTCGCAGGTTCTGAAGCACTCTGAAGCTTTCACGCTTTCTGATCTTACAGGCTATCTCAAGGGAAGCAGGAAACTCCGTATTCAGCAGTCTCAATATTTGATCTGTATGACTTGTCTGTCCATAATCCATAAAATTATTTCTGATCAAAGTCCCTCTGTCATTGTTTGCCATTTAGGGGCTTATCGCTGTTTTCCTCTTATAGTCTGCAAAAGTCCTAATCATCCGATATAATCCTTATTATATTTCTTGTTATTCTTCCTAGTTGTCAGGATTTGTGTAATTTTAAATGATATATGGATTGTAATACGCATGAGAAGCAAAATATTTACAGGTTTTTGTTGAGAGGATAAATCAAGAATGATTTGAAAAAAAGAAAATATTTGTTATTTTTTTCTTAATTGGCAAAATTTGATAAAAGATAATTCACAATCATGATCATGCTGGGTGGCAGAGTGAGGTAGATGCTAGAGGGGTGAAATATGCTGGTTGGCAGAGTGAGGTAGATGCTAGAGGGGTGAAATATGCTGGGGGGCAGAGTGAGGTAGATGCTAGAAGGGTGAAATATGCTGGGTGGCAGAGTGAGGTAGATGCTAGAGGAGTGAAATATGCTGGGTGACAGAGTGAGGTAGATGCTAGAGGGGTGAAATATGCTGGGTGGCAGAGTGAGGTAGGTGCTAGAGGGGTGAAATATGCTGGGTGGCAGAGTGAGGTAGGTGCTAGAGGGGTGAAATATGCTGGGTGGCAGAGTGAGGTAGGTGCTAGAGGGGTGAAATATGCTGGGTGGCAGAGTGAGGNATTCCCCCCCCCCTACAGAATCCTTATTTACGCCCCTGGTGAAATCATCATAAAATGAACAAATTTTGAATTAATAAGAAAAGAATATAAATTCATAATCATAATATTGTTAAAACATAATGGGATAAATATTAAAATATTTGCTAACGCCATTCTCAAACTGTAAACTCCATTATAATTGGTTAAATTTCATTCCAATTGCAACATTTTAAATATTTGCAGAATCTTTGCAAAATGTTAAATTGAGCAAGCTGCGTACTCATCTTTGACCTTTAGAAATACAAAAAAAATAGATTATAGCTGTCTAGTGTTTATCTCTTCATTGGCGTTAGTCTGGTTAAATGTACAAAATTGCGATACCGCCAGCCCCCCCCCCCCACACAAAACCGATAAAAGGGCAGATATCTCAACCCTATAAAAACACGCTTATAGTGATTTATTCTTCATTAACTTTTAAAATTCTTTTAGCAAAACATTTTCCGTAATCTTGATATATCATTATACCCCTAATTAAATATTCACGCGCGGGTTACAAAATTTCCCAAAGCTGGAACCCTTTTATCCGTACTTATTGATAAGATATGACGTATCCGACTGTGGCCGTCCGAAGTACTGTGAACACGACCCCTGTTCAAATATATTTTTTTAGCCCTGTAGCTTAATTGTTTAAAAAGTTATTAATCATTTTTTTAAAACATCACCCAGCCGTTTGATCGTCCTCCACCCTACCCTATGCATACGTTTAGTAAAATTTGTTTACAACTATGAAGTTGAATAGGCAAAGAAGTTTCAGCGTTCTACTTTAAGCCGTTTTTAAGTTATTTAGAAAAACCACGGGGGGGGACCCCTCCACCCCCATCGTGATAGGGTTAACAGAGCTGAAAACATTAGATATTAATATCAATGCTTATTCTTTTCTTTTTGTTATTCTTCAGAATTTTTATCTTCAGTTTGTATTCCGAAATGTTTCTAGAATTCAACCAATCAGAGCGGTGTATGCAAAATTCCGAACAGCCAATATATCAGAAGTTGGGAATTTTGAAATTTAATTAGTAGGGATAAAAAGTATTGAAATTCTAAGAAACATTATCAAGCTACTCCTTAGCCCCTGAAAGCTTCAAAGCTGCTTATAACTAAATTTGAGGAATCAAGCAATTTTACCACAAATTAAAGTATTTTAGTGCTGTCGAACAGAAAAGTTTTAAAATCTAATAATGTAAAAATGTATGATCCAGAAATCAAAAACTATCACAATTTACATAAATGTGTTGTATTGTTTATTATGAATAAATAATAATAAATAAAAGGTAATTATATTACCAATGAGGTGTTGGTTGACTATTCATTAGGAGAAGAATATGTCAAATTAAAACTAACAATGACAAGAAAAAGAATCAGCACTTGAAGATTAACTCTGATATGTGGGTTGAGCAGCTGAGCACTGTTGTCTAGGAACCTGCTGACACTGCTGACGTGGAACATTCTTGCACTCCTGTCTAGGAACATTGAAACACTCCTGATCAGGAACACTACTGCACTGCTGTCTGGGAACATTAAAACACTCTTGGCTGGGAATATTGATACACTGTTGTCTGGGAACATTCTGGCATTGTTCTCTTGGAATAATCTGGCACTGTTGACGGGGAACGTTCCTGCATTCCTGTCTCTGAACCTGTCTAGGAATATTCTGGCATTGCTGTCTTGGAACAGTTATGCACTCCTGATCAGGAACTGAACGGCACTGTCGTCTGGGAACATTTCTGCATTCCTGTCTTGGAACACGTTTTGGAACATTTCTGCATTGTTGTCTGGGAACAGATATGCACTCTGTTGATGGAACATTTCTACATTCTTGTCTGGGAACAAAGTTACACTGTTGCCTTGGAACATTAAAACACTCCTCTCTGCTTACTTGTCGTGGAACATTCTGGCATTGCTGCCTGGGAACAGTCTGGCACTGTTGTCGAGGAACACTGCGACACTCTTGTCTGGGAACACTCCTGCATTCTTGTCTTGGAACATTCTTGCACTCTTGCCTGGGAACATTTCTGCACTCTTGCCTGGGAACATTGTAGCAAGTTTCTCTTGGAATGTTTCTGCAGACCTGTTCCTCAACCCTTCTGGGAACCTGTTCACATTGTTGCCTGGGAACACTTCTACATTCTTGCCTAGGGACAGTAGAGCATGCCTGTCTTGGAACATTGTTGCAAACTTGCCTTGGAACATTTCTGCATTCTTGTCTTGGAACATAAGAACACTCCTGTCTTTGCACCTGGCGGGGAATATTTCTACACTCTTGCCTTGGAACACTTGTGCACTGCTGCCTTGGAACACTGGTACAAGCCTGTCTGGGAACATCCGTGCATACTTGCCTAGGAACATTGCTGCACTCCTGCCTTGTAACCTGTCTTGGAACATTGTTGCATTGTTGCCTTGGAACACTGGTGCACTCCTGTCTGGCTTCCTGTCTGCAAGCTGGGGCTGATGGTGCTCCATATCCTTCTTCAGGAGCAACTTCACCATAAGATGAATCAGCACTACCATCACAAACCTCATCATATACAGTTTCGCAAACCTCCTCATTTACTGTGGTGCATTGTTGTTCATTAACAGTGTCTGTAACAGTAGTACATTGCTGGTCTTGGACAGTGTTACATACTTGCTCATTGACAATGTTGCAAACCTGTTCGTTGATAGTTAAGCACTGCTGGTCCTGCACTGTAGTACACTGCTGTTCATTGATAGTATCTGTAATAGTCTGGCACTGCTGTTCTTGAACTGTATTGCACTCCTGCTCTTGAACAGTGTTGCACACTTCATCATTGACTGTGTTGCATACCTGCTCTTGGACAGTATTGCACTGCTGCTCCTGTACTGTACTGCACTGTTCTTCATACTTGGTCATGTACTGGGTTTCACACTTCTGCTCCTGTATGATGTTGCACTGCTGCTCGTTTACAGTATTACATTGCTGCTCATTAACAGTGGAGCACTGCTGTTCTTGTACAGTGTTACATTGCTGTTCATTAACAGTAGAGCATTCTTCATCCTGTACGGTGTTGCATTGCTGTTCATTTACTATGCTGCATTGCTGTTCATTGACAGTTTCTGTGACTGTTCTGCACTGCTGTTCCTGGACAGTATTGCAGACCTCTTCACTAACTACACTGCATTCCTGTTTGTTGACAGTATTACATTGCTGCTCCTGTACTGTATTACACTGCTGTTCATTTACTGTATCGTATCTTGTCCTGCATTTTCGTTCATTTACAGTGGTGCACTCCTGTCTTGTGGTAGGGCGACATTGCTGTTCCTGAACAGTGTTACATTGCTGTTCATTGACAGTGTCTGTGACAGTTTTGCATAGCTGTTCATTGACAGTGTTACACTGCTGCTCATTTACAGTACTGCACTGCTTTTCATTTACTGTACTGCATGACTGTGTCTGGACAGTGTTGCATTGCTGTTCATTTACAGTGCTGCACTCTTGCCTGGTAGTAGCCCGACATTGCTGTTCTTGTACTGTATTGCATTTCTGTTCATCGACTGTTTTACACTCCTCTTCGTAAACTGTTGTACAACTATCATCCAGTAAATCTACGCTAACTGCAGAACCCTCCAGTGAAGCCACGTTGCCATATCCACCCTCTTGAGCACTTCGCTTCTTTATAATTCCTTTTAGGAGCTTCTCATAAGAATTGTTAGGGAAGGATGCAGAGAGGGAGAAGCAGAGTATGGTCAGCAAAACCTTAAATTACAATTATTATAGTTTTTCACAAGTTTTAGTTTTATTTTATCACTTGACAATCAATTTACTGAGACGATTTATCCATTGGTAATAAAAGTCCTAAACTAAAAATATCTTAAAGTACAAATTACAATTGCATAGTTTACTAGAGGCTTGTTAAGTACAAAAAAAGGTTTCAGTGCAATTTTAAATGATCCAGCGTTTAAATTTACGTTAGTAAACAAAATATCACAAAAAATGAAAAAAAAATCTTACTATGAGTTGCTTGTGTGTTTTCATGTTTAGACAGCAGATTGCTGGTCTTCTTCAAACTGAAGTAATCCATAGACCCTCAGTTTTATATATACATTGTTTCCTCTCCGGAACTCTGGGTCACAATGGACACAATTTTCCGACCCATCTTCCGGGTCCCGATGTACAATTCTGGTCACTTTTCAAGTATTCAGCAACACCAAATATTTGAAGAAATTCCTATGATATTAGAAGAGGATAAGGTTTATCACAGGAAACTGTAAATTTACTGTTTGAGAATAAGTGTAGATTAATTTTTCTACCAGTTTCCATTTTATAAAGAATATTTTTATCAATAGTTAAAATTTTCAAACCCGTCTTTACTCTATATATACTTTACTTATCTGGATGTCGGCCTAATTTGTTTGTTTATATCCAATAAATGTCAAAACAACTGAAATGATCCGTCCAAATTTTTTGAAAAAATTTCGCTTTTTCCAAAATCCACAAGGAAAATAGATAAATTCATAATTTTAGATATAGAGCAAAAAGTAAAAGCTAAAATCGATTGGATGCTCTCTGCCCTAGTGAAATAAAGTTTAAGAATGTTCTGAAATCATTTTGGAACAATTCAGAATTTCTTATAATTATGGCATATTTTAAAATCATTTACTTCATTTTTCAGATTTCAGCCCCCTCTAGGGTTTCCATTCGCAAAACTTTTGCGCAATTTTTGCGGAACGAAACGCAATATTTTTCTTTCTTTGCGCATCAATTTTGCGCGAAAAAAACAACAATTTGCGCAATTATTCGCAAAAGTCATTTCGCGTAAAATTGCCCTATTCCGCTTTTGCGAAACTCAAGTTTTGCGCAATTCCGCAACAAGAGTTTTGCGCAAATCCGCAATTCCGCAATTTCGTAAAAATCAAACGGTTGGTGACGGTGTGTGTTTCTTAGAATTCAATTCTGGAAAAATCTTGTCTTGGAATGTCTTCCTATTGGTCACTTTTACATAATTGACCAATGACAATTAAGAAGAGTTCAAATCTCACAATTTTCTCGACAATTTTAGTTTTGGACATGCATATTTCCTAAAAGTGGATTCTTCAGGCATTGTTTACTTTCTTGCATTATTTTAGGAACATTTCTGCATTGTTGTCTGGGAACAGATATGCACTCTGTTGATGGAACATTTCTACATTCTTGTCTGGGAACAAAGTTACACTGTTGCCTTGGAACATTAAAACACTCCTCTCTGCTTACTTGTCGTGGAACATTCTGGCATTGCTGCCTGGGAACAGTCTGGCACTGTTGTCGAGGAACACTGCGACACTCTTGTCTGGGAACACTCCTGCATTCTTGTCTTGGAACATTCTTGCACTCTTGCCTGGGAACATTTCTGCACTCTTGCCTGGGAACATTGTAGCAAGTTTCTCTTGGAATGTTTCTGCAGACCTGTTCCTCAACCCTTCTGGGAACCTGTTCACATTGTTGCCTGGGAACACTTCTACATTCTTGCCTAGGGACAGTAGAGCATGCCTGTCTTGGAACATTGTTGCAAACTTGCCTTGGAACATTTCTGCATTCTTGTCTTGGAACATAAGAACACTCCTGTCTTTGCACCTGGCGGGGAATATTTCTACACTCTTGCCTTGGAACACTTGTGCACTGCTGCCTTGGAACACTGGTACAAGCCTGTCTGGGAACATCAGTGCATACTTGCCTAGGAACGTTGCTGCACTCCTGCCTTGTAACCTGTCTTGGAACATTGTTGCATTGTTGCCTTGGAACACTGGTGCACTCCTGTCTGGCTTCCTGTCTGCAAGCTGGGGCTGATGGTGCTCCATATCCTTCTTCAGGAGCAACTTCACCATAAGATGAATCAGCACTACCATCACAAACCTACTCACCCACCACCACCACCATTAGTATAAGGAATTAGAATGAAAGGGGGTGAGCTAATCCTTTTTTACTTGCAAATAGAAGGGCTCAGTTGTTTTTGGAGACTTTCCTATAATCCTATCATAGAAATAATATTAAAATAAACCCTATTTTAAGCTTCTTTTTTCTTAAATAGTTAAGAAAACACTTAAATAACTGATAAACTCTCAGATTTGGTTAAAATACAACAGATTTATAAAGTTAAATTCAAGATCTATATTTGCAGAAATATACAAAACACATGGAATTCCACTGTCTTTGTATCTTTCTTAGTCATGAAAATTTATCAGTTTCTTTAGTGTTCTTTCTTGCTTAAAATAATTTATATATTTTTATCAAATTTTGTTGTGTGCTATGCATGTTTTGATGATACCCATCCAACATGTTTTGATACCCCTCCAACATGTTTTGATACCTATCCTATATGTTTTGATACCCATCCAACATGTTTTGATGATACCCATCCAACATGTTTTGATACCTATCCCATATGTTTTGATGATACTCATCCAAGATGTTTAATGATACCCATCCAACATGTTTTGTTAATACCCATCCAACATGTTTTGTTGATACCCATCCAACATGTTTTGATACCCATCCAACATGTTTTGATACCCATCCAACATGTTTTGATACCCATCCAACATGTTTTGATNACATCATTTGATTTATAGTTATAACGGAAAATCATCGTTTGTAAAGTGGAAGGCATAGAGTCTATGTGAAATGATCATTGGTCAATTATGAAACCAGCCTATTTCATAATTTGGTTTTCTTTTAACAATAATTTTAGATTTTCTATAAAATGATATTCCAGGGCCCAAAAGGTTATATAGCATAAATATGTGAAGTACACCTGAGCCCGAAATTTAAAAGAGTATCGTTGAATGAAACTCCCGAGTTTCCATTTCGGGGTCTTAACATTTAAGTAAATTTTAATTTAAGAGATTCGAAAAAAGGAGAGTATGAAGAAACTAAATAACATAATATTTCATAACAAAAATATTGATATCTACAAAACACATATCCCCATTCGTGAAACTCGGGTTTCAAAACTGGTTTTTATAACGATACCCTGACTTAAGTTTTGGGCTCTGCAGTATGGAAACAGTACAACAAAATGGCCGTTTTACACTTTTTTCTAGTAAATTCCTCTCTATATATTCTATTCTCTATGGATGATACCCATCCAACATGTTTTGAAAAAAAAGTTAAAAAATCGAATTTCCTAAGGTTTTATTTTATTCCTTATAATTACTAAATGAGTTTTGATTTGTCAATTATTATCTTTGTTAGATATAAACCTCCCGGTGATGTTTTCTAAATAACTTAGAAACGGCTCATTAGAACGCTAAAACTTCACTTGTTCAACTTCATATTAATAAACAAATTTTACTAAACATTTTTCTTATGCAAAGGGTGGGGTGGAGGACAGTCAAACGGCGGTTCGGTGTTTCAAAAAATCAGAAATGGGAATGGGTAATACCTTTTCATTTATTAAGCTACAGAGCTAAAATTTATATATTTGAATAGATTAATATGTTAATTATGTTACATTTGTCAAAAGTAAAATATTTATTTTTGAACATTTTTTCAACGTATTTTGTGAACTTTTTAAAAATCATCCCTTTCACCCTAACCATTAAAGATAGAGGAAACGATTTATAACAACACAGATAGAACGCTAGACATCGTGTTTTTTTCGTTCACAATAACCCTGAGGCAGAAGCCCAAAAGAGTTCTGCGCGGAACTCCTGTGGGCTTTACCTCAGGTTAGTGTGAACTAAAAACCCCTAAAAATCTCGATAAGACGACATCTGTGTTGTTGTTTTAATTTATGGATAGAGGTTTAATTTTTTTTATGAGTAGGCCTTGAAAATTAAGTTTATTAAATTAACTGATATAGAGTAAATTAAATTTCCAATTAAATATCTAAATATGTAAATAAAAATCGGGCCAATGGCTTATGCGTTTTATTCATACACACGTGACACGCACAAACAAAGACTTCTATACTAGTATTTAGCATACTAGCTGAAGGCCCCGGCGTTGCACATGGGGAAAAAATATTTCAAAAAAGAATTTCAGAATTTGTTTTAGTCTAAGACATGAGTGTCCACAATAAATTTCAGCCCATTCGGTCCAGCCGTTTGGCCGGCCAGAGGGAACATATATGAATGTCTTTTTTTATTATATAGATAACAGACGATGAAAATACATAATATATTCTCGGGAATGTTCTTTGCCTAGTTCCCAAGCAAGTATATGATAAAGTTTCATTTTAGAATAAATGATTTCATCCTAGAATATATAGCTGTCTCCTAGAATATTTTATATAGCTTCATCCTCCTAATATATATAGCATTTAGAATATATTAAAAAGTTTTTTTCCTAGAATAATTAGTTGCATCCTATGTGGTTCACCTGAGTTTGCCAATTAAAATTTGTGGCCACGCAGTCCAAGGGTTCATGAGTTATGATCGAACATTTATTAAGAAAAAAAACACTCCCAAAAGCAGAGATTAAAATTTTATATGTATAAAAGATGATGAAACTAAATGATATACACTATAGGATAAAACTATTTATTCTAAAATAAAACTATATTTTCAAGAATGCAATTATTTATTCTAGGATACAACTTTATAATATATTCTAGTATAAATCTATATAATATATTCTAAGATGAATCTATATAATATATTCTAGTATAAATCTATATAATATATTCTAGGATGAATCTATATAATATATTCTAGGATGAATCTATATAATATATTCTAGGATCAATCTATATAATATTCTAGGATGAATCTATATAATATATTCTAGGATGAATCTATACAATATATTCTAGGATGAATCTATATAATATATTCTAGGATGAATCTATATAATATATTCTAGGACAAAACTATATATTCTAGGATGAAATCATACATTCTAAGATAAACCTTAATTTTATGCTTGGGAACCCAGTGTTGCCGGAAGTTTTCCATATAAAAGTCAATCCACTCAATATAAAATCTTTTAACTAGGCGAAAAGATTTCCCGTGGTTCTGCCAAGCTACCCAATCAAAATTTGTGGCGAATCGGTCTAAGGGTTCATGAGTTATGATCGTTCAAAAAAACAGACAAATAGTGATTACTACTTTATAT